TTTGGTTAGGACCGGGCTGATGTGCATATGTAGTAAGCAAATAGCATTTTAGTTGGCACATGAGGGACGACGCATGAAGTGGGGTGGTTAAGAAAACAGACTCTGTAGTCAGGTTTTCAAACATTGCTTTCACCACTCACTGGCTTTGTGACTTTGGGGAGATTCCTCAACCTCTCTGTGCCTTGGTTTCCTCGGTTGCATGGAGTGGTTTAGATGATTAAATGCAAGATTACATGTGTGGTATAAAACAGCTTTTTTGGGTCAGTGCTTTGTAAGTGCGGGCTCTTCATTTTATTACCCAGACATGGAAACTGGTGATCGTGGCACGCACATGAAGGAGGGAAGTCCCAGTGAGGCCAGTGGGATGGCTGGGAAGGTTGCTTGATCACCACAGTCCTGCTCCCACTCTACCAGGGGCTCTGGAAGGCTTCCTGCACAGTGGCACGCTACTCTGGGTTTCATTTCTTTCAATAACTCATTTTAGAGGAACTTTCTGGAAACCCTTTTTAATTTTTTCATGAAGAGTGAACACCAGCAGTATATACCGAGCAGTGGTTAGTGGAGCTGGTTTGGGTGTTGAAGAAACACCACCACCCGGGATTGCCACCTGCACTCTCCACTTGCTGTTGGGGCTCTGAGAGTTGACCCGGCCTTCATCTTGTCCCCTGGCCCCTTCTCTCTCTCTCCTTCTGGCTTCTTCTGACCAAAGTAGACGGATCCAAAATTCACCAGGTTTTTCTGACATCTTATAACTTACTCTTTACCCCATAGACTATATCTCGAATTATCTATTTACATACATGACATCTCGAACCCTATCAGCTGCTGTGACCTTGACATGCCCTTGTCAACATACCACTTCCACAGAGATTCCCTTCCTACATCTACCTTCCTCGGGCTCCATGCGGGTGACTTTCCAGGCTCTGGCTTTTGCCAACAAGTCCCAGGAACCAGTTTGGTCCTAGCTCTATCTACCGGATTTTGGCTTTTCGTGTTGGTGGGATGCAGACAACTCCACCAACCGCAGGCTCTGTCTGTCTGGTTGCAGGTCCAGGTCACTCCCCGCTGCAGCAGGACACAGATCAGACCCCACTCTCCCTGCAGTGGGCTTAGCACTGAACATGACCTGTCCAGACACAGACCCCAGCTCCAGGCACCTGGCCTGCTTGGGTCTCCTTCACTAGTGGCACAGATTCAGGGCCTGCCCCAGACAAGTAACAAGCCAGGGATCCCCTGTCACTGCTGAGTCTTTTTGGCTCTCCTGCCCTATCATGGTGAGCTCTGCACTGCCCAGCTTCTTGCCCCTGGCTGTTCAGGCTAAGTCACAACTAGTCTCATCACGCCTGATGGCTATCAGGAATCCAGCCACTGGTAAAACTCAGAGACCGAGTCACCACCTTCTGCATCCTGCAACGGGCTCTTCCCTGGTCACCCCACATCCACCATGGCTCCCAACAGGCCACATTCCACGTGGCAGCCAGAGGGACCTTGTTCCAATTAAAGCAGGTCATGGCAACCTCTGCTCACCTCTGTGATCCCACCTCAGCTGCCCTCCCCTCAGCGGCTATGCGCTGGCCTCCAGCCTTCTTTCTGATTCTTGAGCCAACTGAGCAGCTTTTTCCTACCTCAGGGCCTTTGCACAGGCTTTTCCCTCTGCAAAGGGGACCTCTGACCTCACCGTGTCTGAGCTCACGTCGCCCCTCCTCAGGGAGGCCTCCTCTAAGCACACTGCCCAGCCAGTACCCCGTTGCTGTCTTGGGGGTAGCTGTCACCACCCCATCTTCGTATTTGTTATCTATCCCTGCCCACTGAAATATAAACACCAAAGAGACGAGGAACAGTGTGTTGCTCACTGGATCACCAGGGCCTGGACCAGGGCTGGCACATGGTGGGTGCTCCATGATAATTCTTATACATAGCCTTTGAGGTAGGTCCAGGGATTGTCCCCATGTCACAGATGAGAAGCTGAGGCCCAGAGCAGGTGAGGTCAAAGGAGACAGCAAATGACCTGTTGCCTTGCCTGGAACAGCATCCAGGACTGGACTGGGCTGGACTGGGGCATGCCCTGACTGCAGCCCCAGGCCAGGACCCTCTGGACCAGCCTCCCCGGCTGGTCCTGCCTGTGGGCCAGGCCACATCCCCAGGATGCTCACTGCCGGCCCCAATGGCTCCCCCAATCCCCCCACCCCACCCCCACCTCACCCCATACTGGACTGAAAACCCATGCCGTAACACTGCCCGCGTTACCACCAGGCTTGTCAGGGCCAGCACCCCCGCCCCGGTGCCTCCAAAGTCGCCTCTGTGACCAGCCAGCCCCGGGGGGAAGCAGCCAGGCCTGGTGCCCCAGAGTGCGGGCCTTGGAGCCTGGGTGTGAATCCTGGCTTCGCCGTCCTGCCTGTTAACTCTTGGCGAGTAACTTCCATGTCCTCAACCTTGGTTTCCTCATCTGTGAAATGGGAGAAGGGGGCAGCAGTATCCACAGGGATCTCCTGGAGTTTGCTACCTGGCGCCCGCTGTCTCTGATAACAGCACCCGTGTCTCCTTCCCAGAAGCACCCCTGACTTAAGCCGGAAATAACAGCAGCTCTGAGGCTTTGCTGGAATTGGTGGGGACGGTGCCAGCTGACCCAGCTGAGCACCGGCTCTGAGCCAGGTGATCCTCTCTCCAGCCCTTTTATCCTGATAGCACCCCTCGGATGAGGGTATCATTCTTATCCCTGCTGGGCAGATGGACAAATGAGGCCCAGAGAGGTTAAGTAACTTGCCTGAGCTCATAGAGCTAGTAGGTGCACGGGCAGGACCACCAGCAGGTGGTCAGGCTTGCTTTCTCCCGGGCGGCTGGGCTGGGGGCTGCAAGCCCAGGGCCGCGGGTGCCCGTTCCACCACCCCCAAGAACCCGCTTAATAACAAAGGGCACAAAGACTGCTGGAGTGGGAGATGGGCAGAGGAAGACTGCTGATTTTAATCACTGGATCCAGCTGTGCCTAAGATCCCACCACCTAAACTTTTTAGTTACTTGGGTTAATTCAGACTCTTTCCCTTAAAGACACTTTTTAAAAATCACTTGCTACCTAGAGGCGCCTGGGTGGCTCAGTTGGTTAAGCATCTGCTTTTGGCTCAGGTCATGATCCTGGGATTGAGCCCGGCATCGGGTTCCCTGCTCAGCGGGGAGCCTGCTTCTCCTGCTCCTTCCATCCCTCCCCCTCCACTTGTGCTCTTGAACACTCTGCGTGCTCTCTCTCTCAAATAAATAACCTTAAAAAAATAAAATAAAATAAAATCACTTGCTACCTAAAATTCACGTGTCCTTTCCTTTAGTTGGAATTTGGGTTGTGGTAAGAATTAATCAGATAATGCCTGGGTGCTGCCCTGCCCACAGCCCGTCAGCCAAACCTCTGCCCGCAGCTCTGGCTCTGGGCTCCACTGGCACCAGGCAGGAGTATGGAAGAGCCTAGCTCCCTTGCCCTGGGGTGGGGAGCAGAGGACACACACTTGTGCTCAGCACCGGCCCCCAGAACTCCCCAGCCAGGAGGCGCTCCACTTGCCCATGAACTTGCTTGGTGATAAAGCTCTTTGCTGCCACTAACCAGGGACCACCTCCCAAATAAAGGACTCGTTCTCAAATCCTTACCTCGGAGTCCAAGGCTGGGGGATTCCAGAGATAATGTTTACACAGCTGGAGCTAGTGCTTGGTAAATGATGGCTGATCCTGCTACTTCTCCTTCCATCTGCCTTTGAGCCCAGGCCTCAGTCCCTCCAGCTCCCAGGAGACATGGGTGGAATACCAGCCACAGAGGTCAGGGCCCCTGGCTCAGACAAGGCTGGCTGGCTGGGGCTGGATTTTTGCCCAGGACACCCCAGGCTTCCAAATTCTTGGGATAGCAGGATGCCTTGAACTCTCTGAGGTGCTTTGTTTTGGGGGGGCAAAACCCAGAAGCAAGTGGCTTCCCCAGGCACACTCTGCCCCTGGATCTGACCCAGGCCTGAGGCTGCAAGGATTCACTGACAGCCTCTAGTGCATGCAGTCTGCTGATCAGGACACAGCATGGAGTCTCTCCACCAGGGTTTGGGGCCTACATCGGCCACTTTCCAGCCGTGTGAGTCACCTGCTCTGGACCGCAGCTCCTCATCTGTGAAATGGGGACAATCCCTGGACCTACCTCAAAGGCTATGGATAAGGATTATCATTTACTTACAAGTGAGAGGACTAAAAGCTGACAGTGGTGGCCGGCTCACGGTAAGTAATCAACGTAACGTCTCGTTTCATTAGAAGAGCAACAGACCGACTTCACCATCAACTCCTGTACTTTTAGAATGTAGTACCATTTGCATGCATGATTATCCATATAAAGTAAACAAATTAATTTAAGAGTAAAAACAAAATTAAAAATTAAAACCAAAACTAAAATAGGTGTTTAATTATAACCACATCTTGGTTGTGGAATGAGAAAGGCACCGTGATGGTTAATGTCATGTGTCCATTTGACTGGGCCACAGGGAGCCCAGATATTTGGTTAAACACTATTCTGGGTGTTTCCAAAAGGTGTGTTTGGATGAGATTAACATTTTCATTGGTGAAGAAAGCAGATTACCATCTGGAATGTGGGTGGGCCTCATCCAATCAGTCGAAGGCCTGAATAGAACAAAAAGACTGACCCTCTCTCAAGAAGAGAATTCTCCAGAAGACTACCTCTGGACTTCCTCTGCAACATTGGCCCTTCCAGTGTATATGGCCTTCGTATTGGAACACTGGCTCTTTCTGGGTCTCCAACCTGCTGATCCATCCTGTAGATTGGAATTACACACACACACACACATCACACACACACATATTCTATTGGTTCTGTTTCTCTAAGACCTTGACTAACAATACATTTGTGAAAGGTGGGCTTAGGCCTTGACGAAGAGGGTAACAAGCCACGACTCCTCCATCACGGCATCCCACTGAGAGGGACCCAGGACCAGCCCCCAGCCCTACTCAGGGGCCGCTAGAACTCTTACTTGAGCACGCCTTCTCCTGGTCTGGGAACACAGCAGAGGACGGGGGGTTCAAGTTCAGTTCAGGTCTGCTGGGAATGAAAACCTCAGCGTTGTCCTTCCGCTTAGCAGACAAATTCCTTTCCTTTTTATTACCTGTAGGAAAACAAGGGCTTAGATGTCAGACACGGAACGCCAGCAAAGTTGGGGCATGCTGCTTAGGTAGCTGTTGGTTCGTTCACTTATTCATTCAACAAATATTTGTTGAACCCCTACTCGTGCCAGGTACCATGCTAGTTTGGGATCAGAGATGTGAATAACGCAGCACATTTTGGCAAACAAATGAAATATTCTATGATACATACAGGTTTTCAGATATTAACATTTCTGAGCAGGGTGGAGTCTTGCGTCGATGAGGTTCTGGGTTTAATTGGCAGCATGGTACATAAAATAATGGTGTCACCAAGGACATCCTGGGGTGGAAAGAGTAGGGTAAAGCACACTTGCTGCCCCTGAGGCATTCACAGCCTAGCCGAGGAAAAGATGGTGGAAGGGCTAAGAGGGGAGGGCTGGGACAGAAGAAGGTTCCAGTACCAGGGGCATGGAGGAGCATGCAGCCTGGAGGATGTAGCTGGTGGGAGTGCAGGAGGCAGTGTGGAGGGCCCTTACAGGTGACCAGGATGTTACCAGAGGCACGGAGATGAGGCATTCCAGACACAGGGAACAGGCTTGACAGCTGGAAGGTTATGTGGCAGGTGAGCGGCTGGGGCCCAAGGGGGTGACTGGAGCCAGACAGTGAAGGGCCCGCAGGCTATGCTGTCGAGTCAACATCTCCCAAAGTGGGGTGCCTGGACCATGGGTGGAAGGGGAGATGACGCTAGATGCCATGTGGGCAAAAGCAGTTACATAACTGAATTGCATGGAAAAACACGTAACCGGCCCATCGAACCCTTGACTTCATGGACAGTATTGCTTAGAACAATCCTAGAATTATTAAAGAAAAGAAAGAGAAAGGAAGGGGAGTGGGGAGAGAAATTGAGAGAGAGAGAGAGAAAAAAAAAAGAAAGGTGTTTGTTTAAACAACAGCTAAGAAATAGCACAGGAGGTTTGTGGAGGTGGCAAAAAAAAAAAAAAATGTGACTTCAGAAGGTTTGCAAATGGCTCAAGCAGAGGGAAAATGGCACCAGGGCTCTGGCCAGCGCAGGTTTAAGAGCAGGAGGGGGACATGCTCAGGACCGCCAGGCCGAAGAGCAGCCCTGTTGGCAGCGAGGCTGGGGTGGCTAAGCAGAATGGACTCTGCAGGTGGGGAGAACGGTGAAGGTCCCTGCATGCAGATCTCCTGGCCCGGCAAGGCAGCAACCCTGGGAGCCACCTGTTGGACAGCAATGTGAAAGGGCTTCCAGCAGAGCAATCCTGGGGGCCTCTAGGGGGCCCAGAGGACAGGCAGACCCAGAATCCAGGGCTCCGTGGGATTCTTGGGAGCTCAGGACGGAGGCTGGGGGCTCGTGTGGGGTCAGACTTGCACCAACCTCTCCACCATCCCCTCTTGGCTTTACAAAGGACGTGCGTGTGTTTCTCTGTATACTTCCTGAAGCAGCTTCTCCCTGGCTGGCCTGAAATGCAGGACCCAAGGGATGACATCCAGGACCCGCTATGTCCAATGGGACAAGACAGAGAATGGAGGGGGTCAAATGACCACAAGACTGGCTCCCTACGTGCTGAAAATCTGCTGCTGCTACTAAGAGTGACAACCAGCACTGACAGGGTTTGACCTCTGGAGTGCTCGGGCGCTGGGTCAGGTCCGTGGCCCACCCTGTCTCAGTCACCTCCCCAGCCATCCCAGGGGGCAGGTGGGAGGCTGAATAATGGCCTGCCCAAAGACGGCCTAACACAAAGTCACAAGGCAGAGGGGAATCCCCAGTGATCATCAGCTAACCTTAAACCAGGGAGACTATCTTGGATTATCCCAGTGGATCCAATGTAATCCACAAAGGTCCTTAAAAGTGGAAGAGGGTCAGAGTTTCAGTTCGGGATGATGAGGAAGTTTTGGAGATGGATTATTGTGATGGTTACACAGTGGCGCGACTGTACTTAGTAACACCAAGCGGCGCTCTTAAACAATGGTGAAAATGGTAAAATACAACAGGTGTACTTTACCGCAATAAAACACACCCACGCATGCGCAGAGGGAAGAAGGAGGCAGAAGGAGGGCCAGAGGGAGAGGGGACTCTGGGAGAAAGGCACAGCGAGGCTCAAGGTTGCTGGTTCTGAAGGTGGAGGGAGGGGCTGTGAGCCAAGGAATGGGGAAACCTCTAGAAGCTGGAAAAGGTGAGAGAAATTTTCCTCTAGCACCTCCAGAAGGATCACAGCCCTGCTGACACTCTGAGTTTAGCCCAGTGAGCCTTGCGTCCCACCTCTGGCCTGCAGAACCGTAAGATAATAAATCTGTGCTGTTTTAAGTCACCGAGTTAGTCATCATTTGTTACAGCAGCAACAGAAAACTAATACATACTATTATAGAGTAGGGCTCTGAGTTTCAACCTGTTTGTCTTAAGTCCCAGAGCTGAGATTTGACCAGGCCTGCCTGGCCTGGAGCCCTGCCCTGAACCACCTTCTCCCCATCTATCTTCCCCTCCTCTGCATAAGATGGCCCTCCTTGTTCGCAAGTCTACACAAGGATATTTTCTAGGGCACTAAAGGATCCAGACCCTTGGTGCTATGCTAGAACCCTTGAGTCTTCATGGAAAGTGGCCTGGGATCACCTACCAGCCTCATTGTGTACCACACTCCCCACATGCTCACTTGGCTCCAGCCACACTGGCCCTTTCCCTGTCCCTACCTACACCAAGCTCACTCCCTCTTCGAGCCCTTTGTGCTTGCTACTCCCTGCCCCTGGGATGCTGTTCCCACGGCTGCTTCCTCTTCATTCCTGTCCCAGCTTCACCATCATCTCCTGAGAAGGCTTCTCTGACTACTCTAGCTCACAGGGTCCTTCTCTGACCCCCGTCCCCCAACCAGTGTCCTGTTTTATAGTCTTCACGATATTTAAGACTCTTGGGGGTACTGCTCTCTCTTCCTCCCTGAATTCCTTTTTTTTGAGTGAGTGATTGAGAGAGAGAGAGAGAGAGAGAGAGAGAGAGAGAGCATGCACATGAGTGGTGGTGGGGGAGGGGCAGGGGGAAGGGACAGAATCAAGCAGGCTCCACACCCAGCATGGAGCCCGACTTGGGGGTTTGATCTCACAGCCCTGAGATCATGACCTGAGCCGAAGTCAAGAGTCAGATGTTTAACCCACTGAGCCACCCAGGCGCCCCATCCTCCTCCCTGAATTCCTAAGCTGACCCACCACCTGACCTTCCCCATTCCAGTTATTGGGAAACTAACTTCTGCCTTTCTCTGTGCCACTCGCGCACTGGCCCTCACTCACAGGGAGGACACGGGATGCGATGGAGGTGGGGAGGTTGGGGAGGCTGGTGGCAGGAAGCCATCAAAGCGCAATCCAGCCACTCCCCTCCCTCCTCTGGCGGGGTTGCCCTCAGGGCACAAGGCCATCTCCTACCACACTGATGCCATCAGTGGCCCAGCTCGGCCAGCATCTGGAGCCGGGAGTCTGCCTAGTTCAGAGAGGCAGCACCGGGTAGCCAGCAAGTTGGCTCTTCTCAGTTGGAAAGGCGAACATTTGCTCTCCTATCAGATTCCCAAGCCCATCTCTCATTTGTTTCAATTAGGAGGGAAGACAGAGCGGGGTGGCGTTACTTACTGGTTCCTCATAGCCCAACCACTGCTTTGTAACTTGATCTGGTTTATGTACTCAGCCTAGTGATTAAGGGCCCAGGCTCTGGGCTCAGACTCCTGGCAAATTCAATCCCACTCTGCCCCTCCCTTAGCTGTGTGACCTTGGGCAAGTTATCTGCTCTCTGTGTTCCCCAGGGTCCCCAGCTATGAAGCAAGGACGTTTGACAGGACTTGCCTTGGCATTGTGGTAAGGATTATAGATGCTAAGCCCTCGGAGTAGTGCTTGGTACATGTTAGTAAGAATTCAGTAAATGTTGGCAATTGCTATTACTTATTTATTATTATTTATTCAGTGCTGTTCTGGGCCCTGGCAGAGCTCACAGGCCAGAGGGGGAGCAAGACAACCAGAATCTATGGCAAGACCAGTGCCATGATGATGCTCTGGGTGCAGAGGAGGTACCGACCCACCTGGCTGAGCTGGGAGGGCAAAGGAGGCTTCTTGCAGGAAGCCGCCCCTGAGCTGAGTCTTGAGGGGAAAGCAGGGAGCCAGGTTTCAGGGTTCAGAGTGGTGAGGAGAGGAGATGTGGGCACCTGGACAGAGGGAACAGCCCAAGCGAAGGTTTGGAGGCGAGAGAACACAGCGCGAGCACGTCTGAGGGACAAATGTTCTCTTCTCTGGAGGCACTGACCACCAGGTGTGCAGTTTCCAGGGCTGCCTGTTATTATATCCCGCCCCACACCCTTGCCCCCAAAATTCATATGTTCAAGTCTAATCCCCAGTACCTGAGAATGTGACTGTATTTGGAGACAGGGTCTCTAAAGAGGTAATTAGGGTAAAAGGAGTCAATTAGGGTAGGCACTAATCCCGTCTGCTGGGTGTCCTTGTGAGAAGAGGAGATTAGGACACACAGACCCACGCAGAGGGAAGACACCCAGGGACAAGCCACGGAGAGAGGCCCAAGGAGAAAACAACCTGCCGACACCCCGACCTTGGACTTGCAGCCTCTGGAACTAGAAGGAAATACATTTCTGTTGCTGTTGAAGCTCCTCCCTAGTCTGTGGTACTTTGTTACTCAGCCTGAGCAGACTAATACACTCGGCCTGATTTCAGACATTCCCTCATTTCTCTTCCCTTAGGCTCACTCATGCTTCCCAGCTGGTTGGCCTTGATATTTGGTTCAGAAAGTATGGCACACACCTCTTTGAGGAGGGTGTGCTCGGAACGGAGAGGGAAGGGCAGGCAGAGACCAAGCCAACTTGGGACTGGGCATGGGGACTGTGGCAGGTTGGCCCCTCCCTGCCCCTCCTCAATTGCTTTCTTTGCTCTCCTTTCCAGGGCCTTTTCTGGAAAACCTCCTCTAGCAGACAGCTGCTATTTCCACCTGCCCAGCACGCTTTCCTCCTTCTTCAGATTCACCTCGATTTTTCCCTTGGAAACTATTATCAGTCCACGTGGTTTGGGTGGCAATAACCACACTCAGAGCCTTATGGGCTGGACCAGGTCAATCAGAGCCACAGTGACAAGTTCCGAGATGTGACCCAGTGTGGGTTCAAGAGCCAGGCCTGGGACCTTTGCTGGAGCTTTGAGGAAGAAAAATCCACTTTCTGATGGAGGCATAAAGCCAATGTCTCAATTCTGTGTCTGTATGTGGAGAGCCCACCTGTGAATGGGTCTTGTACCAATGTGTTGTACCAAGACAAAGGAAGGCAGAGATGAGAGAGAAGAAGGGAAGGAGAAGGGAATGGGGAAGGAGGGGAGGGCAGAGTCCTTGACAGCTCCTCAGTTATCCAAGCCCTTTTGCTTAAGCCAGATGTGTTAGCCAGTTAACCAAGTCCCTTTTGCTTAAGCCAGATGTATTAGCCAGTTGGCATGCAGATCCTGCTACACATCCTACAAGGCACAGGATAGACCCCCCAAACCATCTGCCAGACACCTGCCATCTGAAATTTCCGGGTCATCTATAGGTCTTTGGAAGCCTTGGCTTCTCACAATCAGCAGAGACCTGACATACCTCCCTGGCCTGTGGGACGGTCTCCCCAAAGCTGAACCCCAAGTACTGCTAGAAATTCAAGTCCTGCTCTTAGACCCAGACACACCAAAGGCAAAGACATGCCCACAAAAGACAGAACTCACTCTTGGAAGCTGGGTTAAATTCCAGCACCACGAGGGGGTCTGGGCCCTGGGGAGGGTGCCCTTCCATCTCCTGGTCCTCGGGAACATCCTTCTGCATGGAGTCCCCACTGCAAAGAGGGGGGTCCTCTCTGGGGTGGCCCACCAGCACCTGCTCCTCGGGCTCAGGCTCAGAGAGTACCTCTTCTTCGATTGAGTCATACTCATCACTGGAACAATCTCTTTGTTTCCTCTGTAGATTTACACTAAGTTCCAGGCTTTTTCTTAACTCCTGCCAAAAGTCAGGAAGAGAAGCAAAAAATGAAATATGTTACTTTGAGAAAAACTGCTCTGAAAATAGATCATTAGAACCAAGGAACTATTCCCGGCAAACGAACATTTACCAAGATCACCTCGACGCATGGGGTTGTCATCGCTTTGAAGACGAGAAAACAAAGACAGGGACAAAGGAGCAACTCTCTAGCAGAGCAGTATTTATAGTATGAACTGTGGCCACACACCTGGGATGTCACTAAGAGTGTGTGTGTGTGTGTGTGTGTGTGTGTGTGTGTGCGTGTCTGTGTGTTACAGATGTTTTGGTTTGGGGGCTCGTTTAAACAGATCATGGGGTCCCACCACCCAGAGTTTCTGATTCAGGGGGTCCTAGACAAGGCCTGACAATGCACACTTCTAACAAGGTGATGTTAATGCTGCTGGTCCAGGGACCACACTCTGAATATGAAATCCTAAAGGCCTCCAAATGCCCCTGAAATTCCAGATGGTACAATGTCTGGCAGATAGTTGTGGGGGGAGACTGTCCTATGTATCGAAGGATGTTTAGAAGCACCTAAGATGTCATAAGATTTAGCACTTAACCATAGCTGCTTGATAATTTTTTTCAATCTGTGTTTCATCTCCATGAGATAGTAGATTTATAATCTGAAGGACAGGCATTAAGATCTACACTTGGAGTGACCAGAAAATTGATCACCGAAGCCAGGACACAGGGAAAATGGGCACTAGTCTGTTTACCCTGGGACAAGAAAATGCCAACTGGACTATCTGGGCAAGCCAGTGTGCTTGGTCAGCCTAGCTATACTTCTCCCACAGCTCGTGCTGCCTCACACAGCTCTGAGAAAATGAGAAGCAATCAGTATCGCTTGCCTGATATTGGTGGTTGACCAGTAAACTTAATTGCCGTGCTGTCCATGTCCTAACCCCTGGACCTTGTGAATCAGTGACAGCTCATGAAGAGGGAAGAGGCACTAGAATACTTTGATCATTCTAGATAAATTGTCCTAAAAAAAGACCTGATGGTAGAAATACGGATACCACAGGTGTTGGCCTGTGGGGGCTCAGGAAACAAGGAACATGCTATGGAAACTAGAGAGGGGATCCCGTGATATAGTGGCAGGAGCTTAGCTGGGCTGTGCCTACGGTTCTGTGATAAATGGAACTTGGAACTGAGATCTGATGATTTGGGAAACCCTCAGCCTGTCCAGTCGCAAAAGATGCTAACGAGCGGAGATTCGCACTCAAAAGAGCATGCTCTGGAGAGAAACCTGAGGCGTGGCCGGACAACCTTTGCTAGTACTTGAGAAGGATCCAAAGTTTAGAGAATTCAACCACATGGAGGGTTCTCTGAAGACACTAGACCTGGGACTCATGGATCCTCTTCGACATCCCAGCAGACACCAGGCACAGAGATAAGATTATACAGGAAAGATCCGAGAAGGAACCTCTTGTCTAATGGAGGGAATCCTAGAGGTGTACATAGGAGACCACATGATTTTTGAGGACGTCAAAAGTTGCCCGCTTGCACCAGAAAGGAGAGGAAGGACAAAATAAAAGAAGGCTGCTGTCCTCCCCAAATTCTACACTCAGGAAGCAGGATGGTACTCGGCTGAGATCACGTGCACCCTCCATGAGAGAGGAAGGATGGCTCCAAGGGCGGGGCCGTGGGCCCAGAGGGCGGAGGCCTGAGCCACAGAGGATTACTCCAAGGCCTTGAAACCCACTGGGGTTTGCCCAGTTGGGATTTCAAAACTGCTTGGGTTTGGTGTCTCCCTTTTCCTTTCATTTTGTCCCTGATGTAACGGGGATGTCTGTCACCGTGACCCTGGGCCTGACCCACCATTGTACTTGGGGGCAGATAACTTGTCTTCTAGTTTCACGAGCCCGCAGATGGAGAGGCTTTTGCTCTCAGAGGGGTTCTACCCGGAGTCCTACCCAGACCTAATTCAGATAATGCAGATGATGAGATATGGAAGTTTTGAGCAGGTGAGATACAGATGATATTCTGGACTTAATACCGTAACAGGTTGAGATATAGGGAAGCTTGGGATGGAATGGATGTGTTTTATATGTCGGATGGACATGGATCTTTGGAAGCAGAGGGCAGACTGCTGTCGGTGGAATGAATGGTCCCCAAAGATATCCACATTCTAAACCCTGGGACCTATGAATGTTACTGTACGTGCCAAAGGGTCTTTGCAGATGTGATTAAGGATCTTGAGATGGGAGAGATTAGCTTGGATTATCCAAGAGGGCCTAAAGTGATTGCCAGTGTCCTTGTAAGAGGGAGGCAGGAAGACGGGAGTCAGAGAGAGAAGATATAAAACCGGAAGCAGAGGTTAGGGAGGAGAAGAGATGCTACACTGCTGGCTTTGAAGGAGGAAAGAGCCACAAGCCAAGGAATGTCAGCAGCTTCTAGAAGGTGGAAAAGAAAAGGAGATGGATTCTCGTTTGGAGCCTTCCTAAGGAACACAGAGCTGCTGACATCTTGATTTTATTTTATTTTATTTTATTTATTTTATTTTATTTTAAAGATTTTATTTATTTATTTGAGAGACAGAGAATGAGAGCTAGAGAGCACGAGAGGGAAGAGGGTCAAAGGGAGAAGCAGACTCCCCGCTGAGCAGGGAGCCCGATGTGGGACTCGATCCCGGGACTCCAGGATCATGACCTGAGCCGAAGGCAGTCGCTTAACCAACTGAGCCACCCAGGCGCCCTGACATCTTGATTTTAAACGAGTGGAACTGAACTTGGATTTCCTTCTTTCTTTCTGTAAGACTTTATTTATTTATTTGTCAGAGAGAGAGAGAGAGAGCACAAGCAGGGGAAGAAGCAGGCTCTCCACGGAGCAAGGAGCCCGATGCGGGGCTCGATCCCAGGACCCTAGGATCACGACCCGAGCCGAAAACAGTCGCTTCATCGACTGGGCCACCCGGGCACCCCTGAACTTGGATTTCTGACCTCCAGAACTGTTAGAAAAGCCACTAAGTTGTAGGTTGTCACAGCAGCAAGGGGACACTGTCTATTCCAGCTCTTTCCCTCCCACCCTGCCAACGCCAAGTATCAGTGACACTGACCGAGTGAACAGAACGCTGCCGGGCACATGGGAGCTGCATGCCAAGTATCTGCTGAATGACGAAACTGTGCCAGGGATCAGGTGGTATCTGGAAGCAGAGGGGGACAGCACCCATGTGCCTTGGAGGTGGCGGCATCGGTGGGGTGACCCCTTTGCAAGTTACTTAAGTCCTCCGATCTGTCTTTGGCACCGCCCCCCCCCCAAAAAAGGGCTAACACACCCCTGCCTGACGGAATTGTTTTATTAAAGTAGTGCTCTGACCTGGGATGAGTTCGCCCCCAGGGGACATGACTTGGAGATACTTTCGGTTACCACTAGCTGGGCGATTCCTTGCTGGGAGACTGTGGTCACTGTCCAGGAAATCCCGGTCAGTCCCAGGGCCCACGGTCATCCCTGCTGATGTCTACATCAGAGTGGAGCCACCAACCAGAGTGGAGGCTTGACCCAATGGTCACCTGAGCAGACTCCCTCCAGCCTCTTTGTCCCCTCTGCCACGTTGCAACCCCACAGTTTCAGTGACTGGAGTTTTGGGGTCCCCCCCAGATTGGAGTGCCTACAGCTTTTGAGCTGGTCTGACTTGTCATCGTGATGAAGCATCAGAGAAGTGACAGGTGACCCTCGGCCACTGCTCCCTGCTCCTTCTAGGTTGTCCACGCATAAAAGAAAACTCCTTTGCATTCCATGATGGTCCAACCATTGGGGGAGGAGGGGATGAGGTGATGGCTGCCATCACTAATTTACTCAGGCACGCAGGCGTGCTAAGGGCTGGGGTAATGGTGGGCAGTAAGATGGCGAAGGCTCAGACAATCGGGGCATAAAGAAAAAGGAACAGGGGCATTTCTGCTGTGGCCAGGACTGTGAAGGAAAGACCCAGCCTGGATGATGCACAGAGGGTGAGTGGACTGAGAAGCCCCTGTTGAAAGCCGGTCAGGGAAGGCTGGCTGATGAACAACCACCTGATGAGTGTCTGGGGCCCGAGCATGTCAGGCAGGAGGAACAGCAGAGGCAAAGGCCAGGAGGCAGGCACGGCTGGAAGGCAGTGTGTACCAGAGGAGGGAGGGTGGGGAGCAGGGAGGGGTCACAGCAGGGCTTTAGAGGCCCCGAGGCAGAGTCTGGATTTTGGTTTATGTGACCACAAGAGGCCCCTGAAGGATGCTAAGCAAAGGCACACTGTTATGTGACTTGTGGTTTGAAAGGGCGCTATGGCTCTGGGATCCTGAGTGTATTTCGAGAGGCAGGGCCAGGGTGGAGACAGGGCACAGGGGTGCAGTTGCAGCTGGGGGGGGCAACAGAACGGGGGACAGGGGGTGCCTCTGGAGATGCATCTGGGAGGCAGTGATGACGAATGACTGACTAGAAATGAACGATGTATACACTCTTTGGCCAAGTCCCTCTGAGAATTTGTCCTTCGGTCTTAATATATGCAGATCGCTGAGGGATCACTGAAAATCGAGAATGTTCCAAATGTGCAACAAGAAGAGGTGGGTTAAATGCTCACTGAGCAGGCATCAACGGAGCCTCAAGCGGCCCTCACAGAGAAAATGAGGTAGATCTCGTGCACTTACTCAGAAAGGTAGCGGGATACACATTTAAGCCAAAACAAGCCCGTCGAAGAATGTACATGTAGAATAAATCCAATTTAAAAAAATTAGTCTCTGTGCATGTATGCAGATATCCACACGAAAAGTCTGGAAAAATAGTCACCAACTATTAACAGTGTTCTCTCTGGGGGTTGCATGATGAGAACTTTCTTTTCTCCATTGTTTTACTTATTATTTTTTTTAATGATAAGCATGTTTCCAATTTTATAATTAGGAAAAAATTATACATTTACATTTTTGTTTAAATCCTGTCCCTGACTCCTGCAAAGAAGTAAATTCCCCACAGGAGTGGGAGGGACAGTGGGGTGCAGGGGCCCAGAC